GGGTTGTTCAACTAGAAAATCAGACAGGAAAGGTTAATGCACCCCCTCAAAGGTTAAATCTGTGGGGCTGTGACTCACTGTGAGGAAAGGGAGAGGTCAGACCTGTTATATTGGCCTGGAGAAGCCCCTTGCCAAAGGCCTTACAAAGGATTGTTTCAGGCATCAAAATCCGAAGGTGAGGGAGGAATTCCCAAAGTCAGAGAAATTCCCACAGTCTGAGGTTCCTGTGGAGCGTTTGCAGAAGTGAGGGAGGAATTCCCAAGGTGAGGAATTCCCCCAGTTTGAGGCTCCTGTGGAGTGTTGGCCGCAGGCAGAGCAGCCCCTGTACAGTTTGTTTGCGGGGTGTGCAGTGATTTTGGGGGGTGTCCAGACTGGATGCGCAGTTATTTTAGGGGTGTGCAGTGATTTTGGGGGTGTGCAGTGATTCTGGAGGGTGTCCAGGCCGGGTGTGCAGTGATTTTGGGGGTGTGCAGTGATTTTGGGGGTGTGCAGTGATTTTGGAGGGTGTCCAGTGATGCTGGGGGGTGTGCAGTGACTCTGGGGGGTGTCCAGTGATTTTGTGGATGTGCAGTGACTCTGTGGGCTGTCCAGGCCGTGGGTGACCCGTGTGTGTGTGTGTTTGGGTCAGGAGAGAAGCCCTTCATCTGCGAGATCTGCGGGAAGAGCTTCACCAGCCGGCCCAACATGAAGCGGCACCGTCGGACGCACACGGGGGAGAAGCCGTACCCCTGCGACGTGTGCGGGCAGCGCTTCCGCTTCTCCAACATGCTCAAGGCGCACAAGGAGAAGTGTTTCCGCGTCACCAGCCCCGTCACCGTGCCCTCGGCCGTGCCCATCCTGCTCTCCGCCTCCTCCTCCCCCGCCGTGCCCGCCGTGCCCCCCCCCGGCCCCCGCCCCGGCCGTGCCCCTGAGCCCCGCGGGCGCCGCTCCCCCCCGGCCCGTCCCGCACCCCTACCAGCACCTCCACCTGCACCCCCACGCCCACCACCCCCACCACCACCTGCCCGTGCCCCCCGTGCCCCACCTGCCTCCCCCCCCGGCCCTGTTCAAGAGCGAGCCCCTGAACCACCGCGGGCAGGGCGAGGAGCCCTTCCTGCGGCACCTGGCCGAGAAGAACAGCCCGGCCCAGCACCACTGACGGGCCCAGCACCACTGACGGCCCCGCCGCTGCTGCTGCTCTCCCTCTGGAGGTACAGGGCTCACTGGGGGAGGATCTCTGGCTCAGCTCCCTGGAATCACTTCACAAGGATAAAACAAAAACACCCCGTTTGTGGTCGGCGCCCGTTTTCCAACCCGACAGGACCGAGGAAAAAAACAACCCCAACTTGGGTCGTGGTTTCTTTCCCCTCCACCCCCCGCCGGTGACTTTTATGAATTTCAGACACTGAGACTCGTGGAATTTTATAATTTCATATCAGCTGATGAGGTATGCTTGCTTTTATATCCCGGACTTCTCCTCAAAGAGGAGACAGGCCTGGTTTTCTTTGTACTAATCGGGAAGGCTGTGAGATTAATACAGAGCATTAATTGTATCACTGTGTATGTAACGGATTCCTTTCAGCTTCTGGTATCACGGTATATTGGAGCATTATAAAGAAAGGCAAAAAAAACCCCTCCTTGTTTTGTGTAGCTCTCCTAACACACTCTTTATTTTACTACAGAAATTATTTTAGAGTTTTTTGTATAGACCTATTTAGTAGTCTGTTTCTAAAACGAAAATTGTATTTCAATAAGCGGTGTAATTTTTTCAGTGTAGCTGGACCTATGTTGTATAATAGATAAATTTTTATAATCATCGAAAAATGTGATTCTTAAAAAAAAAAGATGCTTATAGCTTCTATAGTTAAAGTTATTCTTACAACCACACGACTTAAAGGTGCTTCAGAGAAGAAAGGAAACCAAGAGGTCTCTGGAAAAGTTGCCTCAAAAAATGATGTTTGATTTCAGAACTTTACGTAATTTATTTTAATAGGGCTTTTTTTTTTTTTTGTCGTTGTTGTTGGGGTTTTTTTTAACCTTGTTTCCCTTCTCACGGTTTCCCTTAAAGCTGCTGGGATGAGGATGTTGGGATACAACATTCCTGCTCCCCAGGTTTGCTTTGGCTGGGTTGGAGTGAGGTGTGTGAGGTGGGTTGGAAAGGGGGATCCTGGCACGGAGGGACCTGTTAATTTGGGAATAGGAAGTCACCAAAGTGAGGGATGTGACAGCAGGAGGAGATGGAGTCTCTGGGTCAGCCAAGGATCCGTTGGAAGAGCCGGAGTAAGGGCCTTCCCATGGTCTGAGTTAAGTTGGGGATCACATCAAATGCTGCTCTTCAGACAAGGGGCTTGTGGAATTCCTGGATGCCAGGAGAGGGGAGTGAGGTGGGATCACAGCCGTGTTCCTGCCGGGCTGGGTGGGAGAGGGAGAGGAGGAGTTTGGGTGAGAGGATGGTGCTCCCCCTGAGCTCCATCCCGTCCTCCATCCCGACCTGCATCCCATCCTCATCCCACCCTCCATCCCATCCTCCATCCCATCCTGCATCCCATCCTCCATCCCATCTTCATCCCATCCATCCCATCCTCCATCCCACCCTCATCCCATCCTGCATCCCGTCCTGCATCCCGTCCTCCATCCCACCCTCCATCCCACCCTCCATCCCACCCTCCATCCCA